ATCGATGATGACGTAGAGAAAAAAAGAAAAGTGATATAATAACGAGAATGGTAGAAGATCGAATATTTTCGCGAATATAAGAGTGTAAATAATTCTTTCGATCGTAATTTTATCGTTGATGATGAGGTAGAGAAAAAAGGAAAGCAAAAATAATAACGATAGTAAAACATTGAATACTGTGTAAAAATATAAGTAAATCTTTTGATCATAATTTTATTATTAATGATGACGTAGAGAAAAAAAGAAAAGCAAAAATAATGATACAAGATCGAACGTTTGTTGCGAGTGTAAATAATTTTTTCGATCATAGTTTAATCGTGGATGATGACGTAGAGAAAAAAAGGAAAGCGATAATAATAAAAATAAAAAGAGAATAAGAAGCGAAATGACGACGAGGATTGGTTTGACGTGGAAATTTAATTCCACAATTCGAATTTTCAGCGGGGAAAAGATTGCTTTTTATCGTCTGGCGGTCAAAGTGGAGGGGAGAAGGATGGAATTAATTAAAAAATAACGAGATTTTCGATCGCTGCGGATCGAACGGATCACTACTCTTGCCTTTTTCGAAACGTGATTCCGCGCGAACGAAGCCAAAAATCCGAGTCCCCGAGAATGAATCGCGATTCGAGTTTAATCGCGCGTTTCCATCTACATCGATTACAACAACCCACGATCCGTAACGTCGATACGCAGCCGTTACGCGCGCGTTTAAACGGAGGAGGAAGCGGTGGAAATATTTGTTGCGACGGGAAGTGGACGGTGGCGCGCATGCTCGTTTCGAATTCACGGCGTTCATCACGCTGCCATTAATTTTATAATATCGACCGCGCGTCGCTAATTTCATCGTTAATCGTATCGCGTTATTGTTTCGTCTCGATCGGCCGATTTTATATAATCCCATTCCCCGTGCAAATAACAGGGACAAAAGAAAGGAAAAATATTTTTAAATGTATGAAATATATTATATGTTAAAAAAGGAAGCGAGAATTCGTCCGGATTTCGAATTATCGATCAAAATGGAGGAAACTAAAATCGTGCGTATTCGAATATAGGGGAGAAGACTCTTAATGTTACAAATATTCGAAATTTAAATTCTTCGAAAGAATCCCGTTTATCGTTATTTCATTTTTTTATCGTGGAAACTCATAGGTTTGGAAAACCGGACGAAAACTCCACGAGGAGTTTCCCATAGCTGCGGTAAAATTCCTGAAACTCGTAGCGAGACGGACACGTAACCCAGCGCGCGAACTTGTCCCAACCCTTACGTAATTAAACACCTGTTCTCGCGGCTTGAACCGGTCAGTCACGTGTTACCAACTACCTGACTTCCTTGCCACAGTTTCTCGGATAGGGGACACCTGTTTCAACGATGGCCTCTCGAATGCGACAGCTGCTCTCGAGTCGTTCGCATACCGTTCCGCTCTCTAACGAATTTCCACCCGTATCTCTCTCTCTCTCTCTCTCGAGATTTATTAAAAAATGAATGCGAGACGGGTCGAATCGATCGAAATAACACCTAAATAAGATTTACATTAGGAATACGAAGAGAGTTTTATCCATAGAAATGGAGATATCTTTAGTATGGAATTTAAAATGCGTTCGTTCATTCGAATGAAAAATCGGAAAAAGATGATTTTTTTTTTATAGATATTAAATTGGCAGTTTGAGAGTCAACGTGCCTTTCTTATTCGTAACTATAGGAGAGATCCCTTCTAAAGAACTTTTAGTTCGAGTTTTATCGTAATACTTTTAAAAACAACACTGTTATAAAGAAAAGATTAAATTAACTTTTTTTCTTTGGAAACATTAAATTATTCGAATATTTAAAACATATGTACTTACAAGTTGTTGAAAAAATAGCTTCGAAAGCGATAGCACGTTTAAAAGAAAGAGCAAGATTGTAAATTTTTCCACTCTCGAAAACGAAAAAAATCGATTAAAAATGCTAAAAGATCTCGAAGATTGACTCCTTTTTTCCCTAAAAACAAAAGACATTTTAAAATTCCACATTCTCCAAATGAAAAAAAAATCTCGAATATAAAAGAATATAAAAGAAAAAAAAAAAAATGAAAAATTGTCTGAAATCTCGAATAAAAAATCATCGACTAATTAAAAGAAGAAGAAAAATTTTAAACTCCTTTAATTCTATCAAATAAAAGAATTATAAATATTTATCAAATACTAAAATTCTCGAAATAATCTTTCAATCGATTCGTCGTTCACGATCATATTTCATTACGTTTATTACGTTTCATGGATTATACCCGCAGCGAGTAGTTTCTTTGTTCACGGTAGCAGGATCAGTTAATTCCAAGAGTGGAAGTCGTGCAACCACTCGACGAAAAGAAATAGGACGTTTACACGAGTGTGGATATCTCGAAAGAGAAGAAATTCAACACAAATCCTTATGAAAATATTAATCTACTTTCAAAATTCTTACTTGAATTCTTCTATTAAATCATACTTAAACTTGTACACACAATAATTAAGAACCAACCAATCCACGAAAGATAAAAAAAAAGAAAGACTTTTAAGAAATCGTAAACGTAACGTACATTCGTATAAATTTCACTGAAAAAAAAAAAAAAAAAAAAAGAAAAGAACGATTCCTTCACTCTAAATTTCATTGGAAGCATCGACCATTCGGGAATCTTACACTCTTAAATCAAAGATGAAAAAAAGAAGAACTTTTAGGAAAGGGGGCCCGTAAGGATAGCGTGTATAAATATAGAGAAGAGGATGAACAGATGAAACGAAAACACGAAAATCCATCAGCGTCATTATTGCGGCCGTCTGTACAAACGCAAGGGTTGACTTTGAGCAGCGGCTGTGACAGTGGAGTGTATCCACCTCGAGAGCTTCTTTTAAGAGGCACGCCCGCTATTTAAGTCTGAGTCTCCTTTGATTACTGGCGCGTACCTCGTTATCTTTGAGGAGCCCTCTCTCCCCCTCCCCTCCTTGCACTCGTGGCAAAAGGGGTAAGGAAGGAAAGTTTTGACCGAGTGTACGAGAAATCGGTTTGTCCCCGGACGGGGAAAGTGGAGGAGCCGAGATGCGCCCTCTTTTCGCATTCTACCCCCGCGCGTCGAAGAGAGATGTTTTTGTGTCGAGGGAAGAAGATTCAGGAGAAACACAGAACTTGGTTTTGTGAATGGGGAGGATCGAAAGGAAACGAAAAAAGTTCGAAGAAAGTACCTTTGGGGTGGATTTGTTGTCTCCCTTGTTGTCTAACGATTTTTTGGGTTAGAGCGTTTTTTTGAAGATTTTCAAATAATTGGGATGCGTTTTGGGAACGTTAGAGTATCTTTGATTTTGTTTTTTTTCCTCTTTTGAGGATTTTAAGATAAGATACGTTCTACTTCTTAAAGGGAGGATCCATTCTGTAATTGAGATGTTAATGGATGGATCTTCGATAATTTGTGTGTACATTGTTATTACATTAGTTGAGAAAATGGTTCTTCAAAGGAAAGCTACGTTTCGATGAGTTTGATTATAATCGTATAATGGGACGTTGTATATATACGAACCGAGTCTCACCGAGTCTTTGATTTTACTCTATCTACTAATATCAGGTTTAACGTGACCCAAAATGCAGGGAGACGATGTTATTGGATATCGGAGATTCGGAACGATCACGTTTCCAATATACATGTTTGTTGCTCGGCAAATGTATAAAGAGGTTAATAAAAGCAACTCGAGTCAACCAGTTTACAAATATTACCCCCTATTTCAACCATTATGATCCTTTAAATAGAAAATCTCGTATTTCCGTATATACGAGAACCTTTGTCTCGATTCTTTAACGGAATTAAACTCTCAACTTTAATTTTACGCAAATTTTATCTCGCGAGATTAATATTTCTTATCACCCTTCCTCCAAATTCATATTAAAATTCAAGAAAGATCTCTCATCAATAAAGTTCATCCTGGAAAAAAAAACAAAAAAAAAAGAAACAAAATTCCTCGCATCAATCACAGATTTTTCAAAACTTTCTTCTCTTCGTTCGTACTTTTCAGCCGCATTAAGACATTCATCCTTGAAATTTCAGTTCGAAAGGGCGCAGCACAGACGTATAAGCCACACACGCTTATCTTTCTTTCATCAAAAGGAAACGATAACTCTCTCTTTCTCTCTCTCTCTCTCTTTTCTCAAACGAAATCGTCTCGCTGGGATCCCTTCAAATAAAAGAGAGAGAGAGAGAGAGAAGGAGATGTCGCGGTACGTCAGGATTTCCGGTCCGTCGTTAACGTTCGTGCACGAGATAAAGTCCACCGTGATATTCCGTGAAAACCTTCTCGTATTTTTCCCCCTCCCCCTCCCCGTCATTCTTTCTCCCTATTCTCAACCGTTGACGTCCTCTACCTTGTCCTCCCCCCTCCCTTTCATTTTTCTTCTCTTCCCTTTCTTAAATCGCGCTTTTTTTTTTATCACTTCAAGTTTCACCCTTTAAACTTCCTTGCCGGCGACGTTTCATATTTGTCTCAACGCTGCGTGTTTTTCTTTTTCTTTTTCCTTTTTTTTTTTTAGCTCGACACGACAATGGCGACGCTCGTCGTTGCCTCGACAAAAACAGAGGACAGAATTTGAAAGTGAATCATCCTCGAGCAAGTGTAAATACATCGGTGACAGAGATTTCGTTAAAAATTATCCAAAGCATGTACAATAACCCAATCTTAACTTTAAAACATAATCGATCCTCTTTCTTTATTATTTTCTTCCAATTATCATAAAAAAAAAACCGTTCGACCTAAACAACTTCTTTACTTCGAAACGAACCGAGCGTTAAAAAAACGAAGAAAAAGAAAAAAAGAAAAGAAAAGAAAAGAGAGAAAGAAAAATATTTGAAGTAAACACCCCATAGTCGCAAAGACGCGAGTTAGATAGAGCAGCAGTTCCTCATTAGCATGCTCGTCCCTCTCATTAACCGGGGCGGTCGCGCGCAACCTTTGCGTCGTAAATCAAATGAATAATTAGCCACGGAAGTTCGGGGTCCGCTTACCTGCATAAACAGAGACAAGTCGTCGCCCAACAGCATGTCCCTGCACACGTCCCTCGCCGTGGTATCAACAGTGAGATAGACGAGGCTGCTCTCGATCCCCGTGTGTATCCTCACCCAACCGCTTCCACCGTTCCCGACGTCCGCCCCGACGCCAGAGTCCCAAGAGGAATTGAACGTCTCTTGGAGCCTGGCCACCTTTGGGCCGCTCGTCGGTTCGCCGCTCGTCGAACACCCACCGCTGCTCTGCGCTCCGTCGTTCTCCAACTTGTCCCTCCTCTTCTTCTTCTTCTTCCCCGTCGAGGTCGCCGCCTTCTTCCTCTTCTCGTCCCTCGCCGATTCCTCCTCCTCCTCCTCCTCCTCCTCCTCCTCCTCCTTCTTCTTCTTCTTCTTCTCTCCTTCCTCCCCTTCCTCCAACACCCTCTCCGTGTCAGTGTCGTAGCGCAGATCTCGCGGGACCTCGTCGCGATCCTCGATCGCCAACCGATCGCTTCCCTTCTCCCCTTCTTCTCTCTCCTTCGTCCCGTCGTCCCCCCTCGTCGCCTCGATCCCCTCGAAATCCTCCACTCTCGCCTCGTTACACCGATCCCTTTCCGGATACAATCTCGAGCTCCCCAGACGAGTGTCGGTGTCGTCGATAACCGCGCGATCCCCTTCCCCCTTCCTCTCCACCGAGTGAAAACCGCTTCTCCTCTCCCCGTTTCGCGACCACCTCGACCCGCCGCAGCATTCGGCTTCCTTCTTATCCTCGTAGCCCTTAGCCCCGTAGAAACCTGGCCTCGCCGCCATGGTGAAGTTCTCGTTATCCCGAAACGTTCTCGACTTGGACGAGGAGGAGGAGGAGGTGGTGGTGGTGGTGGAAGAAGGAGAAGTTTTGGCGGATCGCTTCTTATCCGAGGACGCGTCCACGACTCGACGATCCTTGGAGAACCCAACCAAACGTTTCGAAACGTCCACCATCTTTCTCCCCCTCGAACAAGAATCCCGCTCGCAAGATCTTTGCGCCGGCTTCGCGCCTCTGCTCCCCCCCTTCCGCCTCGCTTCCGCGTACTCGTACGCGTCCTCCTCCTTCCTCGCCTCTCTCGACGCCGCCTCGCTCGACACCGACCCGCGACTTCTATCCCCCTGCTCCCTCTTCGATCTCCAAGTATCGCATTTACCCTCTTTCGTGGCGCGATTCTTCGACCTGGACCTCTGCTGGAACCGCTCGTAGTTGGCCAGGATCTTCTGATTCAGCTCGTGTATCAGCTCCAACCTCTTCGAGATCGAGTCGTTCGTTTTCTCCGTCTTCTTTCTGCCGCCCACCCACTTCCTCCCCCCTCCGCCCTCCCCCTTCTCCCCCTCCTTCTCGCCCTTCCAATTGCGCGACTTGGACGATCCGCAACCGGAGGACACCTGCTGTCTCCTCTTCCCGGACGACCCCGTGCTCCCTGGATCGCTGCCGGGGATCCCTATCTCGTACTTGGAGTCGCTCTTGATCACGCCCCCCTTCTCCACCAAATCGGCCTCGATCGGCCACGACGCGTCCTTGCCACGCCTCTTATCCTGCTCCCCCTGCTGCTGCTGGAATCCCGACACGTTCATCAGCTCCAGCCCCGTTCCGACGCGCCCTCTCCACGACCACGCATCCTTCTTCCGGTTCCCGCTCAACTCTATCCCCCTCCTCGCGTCAGGCCGAACCTCCAAACCAGGGCTCGACCCGCTGCTCAGGCTGATCCTCTCGTTCAACTCCCAATTCATCGCCGTCGTCTTGCCAGACCTCGTCGTTTCGCCCGCCCCCTCTGCTCCCGGGGGGCACAGGCCGAGCTTCCGCTTCGAATCATCTTCCCCCTCGGCCGAGACCCCTTCTTCTTCGTCTTCGCCGCGCCTCGCCGCGTTCCAACTCACCCGCTTCAAGCCCCTGGTCGAGGACAATCTTCGGGATCTCCTAATAAGCTTGCTCGACGCCCCACCGCAGGCGGATCCGCTCGCGATCACCATTTCGATCGCGGATCATTCGACCGATTCGAATTCTCTCAACTTTGAATTCTTGTGGGGTGGGGAGGGTGTCGATTTGAATTGTTTCCTGAGGGGATTTTAGACGCGTTCGGAGTGGTTTTAATCGGAGTCTTCTTCAAGTTGTTGGCTGAAAAAAATATAGAATGGATGAGATTTTAATTCTTGGTTGCTTTTCGAGATGGATTTTCGAGAGAAGCTATGTAAATTGTTATCGACAAAATCGGAGGTAATTTTTGCAGAAATTTTTCTGTATTTAAAATTTTCCATTAAACGAGCGTTTGCGGTCGTTATTAAAAGTTGGGGAAATTTTTGCAAAAGATTCGCGAATAATAATAGGTTTGGCGAAAGGAGAATAGGATTGTGCGAAAGAAACTTGAAATGTAAATTGAGAGACAGATGGTAACTCACGTATGAATAATACATAAGGCGACTTTTCGAGTTTGTGTAATGAATTAAACAAATTTTGTAATTGTCTGCTATTCGCGTTGGAATACACACAACAGTAATTTCTCATAAATTCACACTTCTGAAATTAATCAAACTCATTTCACGAGTAATTAAGTCGTAGACTTTTAACCAAAATTGATCAAATTTATTCCGTACGCGATACTCATCGTCATTTAACGTTATATTAATCCTTCAAAAACTTTCGAACCATAAATACTAATCATATAAATATTACTAATTGAAACGAATAATTAATACTAATTCACAAATAATTTTGCCTTACATTTCAACTTCTCGAGAATAACGAATTTCTACAAAGAAAGCATCGTTTCGAAAAATTAAAAACGACGAGTATAAAGCGTGAAATTTCGGACGAAAGAAAAAAATTTCAAAAATTTCAAAATTTCTCGTCCGTTCGCGCGAACGATTTTTTCGAACATGGAAACGATTCGAAATATTTTACGTTCTCTCCACACGAGGGAGGACTAGCGTTCTTGAAGGTGATATAAATTTTGCGGATACGGCGATAAACGGATCCCTGTCGGTGGACAGGGTCGATGGATAAATAGAAAGCAAGATACGTGATTCGAACGAGCAAACGTTTCCTCCCTTTTGTTCGCTTTCGACCACTTCTCTACGTTATATATATTTCGGCCATAGTCTGCGTGAAATTCGGCAAAGGTACGCTTTCGATATCGCGAAGAAAATGGCGGAAATCGATTTGAGGTAAATGATGGCGCCGCTTTTGAAACGTACGAAAGGAAGAAATATTAATTAATTCGCGAAACATTTGTCAATCAATGAATTCGAGATGAAATCATTGGAATGATTGTAACCATGCAAATAATTATGAAAATGTCTTTTACATATGTGCTTCCTATCGATTTTATTAAATTTTTCTAAAAAATAAAAACCAATTAATCTATCAAAGACGTGTACGCACGATATCGTTCCTTAGCAATCTTTCATCCATTGTCGAAGCATTGAATACAAAAAATTTTGAAATTTTTCCATTTCTTCGGAGGAAGATACGAATCTATCGTTTTTCCTTTATCAAATATCGAGATTACATTTCTAACGAGACTTAAAATTTAATTCGACTTTCGACAGATTAAACGCGAATAATACCTTCACAAAAATCCTTAGAATACAAGACTCCATTTCCTTCTCCTATTCCATCGATTTAACGAACAACGTTCATCGAAGAATCTTCTTATGGAAATCCTTTGATATCGTTAATTTGGCTTGGATTACGTACGATTTCGGCGTACAAGCAAGAACCGAGAACAGATAATTCTAGTTTGCGCGTGTTTGAACAGCGGCCACGATATTCGTTTCAAATATTATCGAACAAATATTTCCCATTCTAATGCCCGTACAATTTACCATCGATCCATTTATCGTTTTACATATATATAGTCGATTCAATATCTTCCATACCAATTTAATCTCGGATCGACGTGATAACTGTGTTATCCCTTTCAAGCATTCCGATATTTCAGACGAGATGAAAGGAAAATTTAACGAGCAGGCGGAGGATTAATCGGAGGAGGGGGCAATTTTAGGAACAAAGTTCGACTTCTTCGAATGAACGAACGAATTTCAACGAATGAAAAAAATTACATTCGCTCGTTTATTAAATTATTCGAATACCGATCTCGTCTCCTCCGCGTTAAGTAGAAAGTACGAATTTTACGTTTGGCTTCGACGCGATTAATATATGAGATATTCGTGGAGGAATGTTGAAACGAAGCGAGGCAACGTGTTAATAAACGCGTTAATAAACGTTTCGTATCGAATTTTCACAGATTTCCGTTTTTATCTTTCGTTTGAAAATTTCGATTGAGAATAATATAGCGAATAATGCGACAGTAAAGTAACGTATTTAATTTCCCTCCCCCGATCATTAAATCTTAATTACTTTCACCTGTTTGTCAAAATTACATGAACTGAAAAATGGAATAAAATTTTATAATCGCTCGTTTAACGTTCATTTATATTGATACAATAATTTTTTTTTTCTAGTTTCTTTTTATTTTCTTTGTTAATCGCATAAACTTTTTCAATTTTCCAAATTGATATTTTACATTTCGATCGAGCTTCATTATTCGTCCATTTACAAAGTTAATCATTTCGATTGCTCGATATTTATAAAATTTAATAAAATATTAAATCATTTTGCCTTTCTTTCTCCACGGAAGTCAAGGAATTTACAATTCTCTAACGTCGAATGATTCCAGGCAGCTACGTTTGCGATTTATTCGATATGCTCAACCTTTTTAAAATAAAATTTATATAAAATATTAAATCACATCTACATTTTGCCTTCTCTTTCCATAGAAGTCAAGGAATTAACAATTCTTCAATATCGAATGATTTCAGACTACGTTTATGATTTATGTTCGACCTCTTTAAATAAAATTTGTATAAAATATTAAATCACATCTACATTTTGCCTTCTCTCTCCACGAAAGTCAAAGAATTAACAATTCTCCAACATTGAATGATTCCAGTTCGTGATTCATTCACGTATTAAAAATTTCGATCGAGCTTCATTATTCGTCCATTTACAAAGTTAATCATTTCGACATGCTCGACATTTGTAAATAAAATATTAAATCACATTTTGCCTTCTTTCTCCACGGAAGACAAGGAATTAACAATTCTTCAACGTCGAATGATTTCAAGCATGTGGAACTCCGTGGCACTCCGTCCGTGACTCATCCACGCACGTACGGAATATCAAACAACATTCGCAACAATCGAATCCCCTCGAGAATATGTATATATATCCAATTATTGTGGCACATCTTGCCGAAAAACAAGGCCAGGATGTACGTATCGTTATGTTTCATGTTCAGAATATACGAAATACTTGACACACAAATATCGATCGACACTTACGCGTGTTGCGTACTTGGCAATGCTGCTGCTGCTGCTGCTCCACCACTTGGCTCTTCCGATAACAAAAGACGCTCGAAACAACGCACTTCGTTCCACTTTCACAGTCACCAAGAACGATGCAAGAACGATCTCACTGTTAACGTTCTATACCTCCTCATCACCAAAGATCGATTCTCGATCTTTCGAAATTTCACGCCCACCGATAAAAGTTTGCTCCTTGATTTTTTTCTTTTTTGTTTTTCGATCTCTCAACACTTCAACACTTAAACTTACGAGTCGATATCAACTCGAGTAGCTCGAATAGAAAATTTAATCGTGTCACGCGCGTAATCTTAGAGTGTCAATGAAGCTTAATTAGATCGTAACACCGGTAATCGTCCACCGATCAAACTTAATTATCTCGCGGCATTAATTATCGTCACCACCAACCAAGTACCAATCACACTTGATTACCTTGCAAACCTCTCCACTCGCAGCATCCAGATGCCACCAATAAAGGATTTGGACCTCGATTCGAGAATGCTTAGAATCCCCTTCTTTATTAAACTTCCACCGATCGTTCAACATCCGTTCTTTATCTCATCGTCGTAGAATTATATTCTATTAAAAATCTTAAGAAACGCACGAATTTTATCGCGAACATCCACTCGAAGGATTTCACAAGGATTACACAAACTCGCATGTATAATAACACTTCTCTGATGCAAACTTCTCGATATGAACGTCATCGCAGAGATCGATCGATCGACTCTCATTTACCAATCTTTTTCGAGAAAAATTCGGAAAAATAAAACTGCACTGGCTCTCGTAACGAGGGATCGCGGCCACTGGCCACTGTTGGTTTTCAGCATCGTCCCGGACATCGTGAATATATCGGCCGGCCACCTGTCTCTTCCCTGTCTCCTCTACCTGTTGACCACGCTCTGCGCGATCATGCCCCTCGCCACGATCCTCACGTATAACAACGTCGGTTGGAACGAGGAAAGGGAAAGGGACAATGAAGCGATGGAAAAGAGGGGAGGGGGAAAGGAGGAGGAGGAGGAAGGATAGCAAGGCGTGAGACGGGCGAACAACGATGGATTAAGGGAGTAGTAGGAGATGAAAAAAGNGCCCCTCGCCACGATCCTCACGTATAACAACGTCGGTTGGAACGAGGAAAGGGAAAGGGACAATGAAGCGATGGAAAAGAGGGGAGGGGGAAAGGAGGAGGAGGAGGAAGGATAGCAAGGCGTGAGACGGGCGAACAACGATGGATTAAGGGAGTAGTAGGAGATGAAAAAAGAGGATGATGGTAGGGGAAGCTAAAAGAGGGGGAGGGATACAATGTTTCGTCTCTCTTCTTCCACGTGCTCGCCTCACGTGGTCTCGCGGGAGAGACGATTCTCTCCCGATTATTATTACGTGAACGATGGGAGAGGGAGAGGAGAGGAGAATGGAAATGTCGTTTCTTTTCTCCACGTGCTCGTGTTCGCGTGGTGTTGCTGGTGAGAAAGGGAGGAGGGGAGATTCCCTTCCAGCTGTCGAACGATGCATTTCCGCCCTTGGATACCGCTCCTCTCGTCTTTACGTCCTCGAATTTATTCTGACCCGCTTTTTGGCTATGTTTGAAGGTGTTTGAAGATGTTTGAAGG